GAGGTGGTATGGAGCAAGGCCATGGACGAGGAGGCTATGGTCGCGGCGTGGAGGAAGGCGTCTGCGCGGCTGGCCACGGCAGGCAAGATCACATGGTCGGCAGTCAGAGGGCCAGCTGAGGCAGTCCCGAGGACCCTGCGCGACTTCGGCTGGTCATGGCTTGCCCCGTGGACGCTGCTCGCACCAGCAGGAGTCCAGGTGCCATTGCGCACGGTGGCGCCTAAGACGATTATGCACAAGCTGGAGAGGGCCATCGAGCGGCAGGTCCTCGCAAAGTGGGCCACTGAGAAGGGCGTCGCAGGTGAGGTCCCGATGCCGTTCTTAGAACCAGTGAGGGCGCTGCTCAAGAAGCGCAGGTGGGCTGCGCATCAAGGTGCCATCAAGGCCTATGTGGGGCAGGACTACTGCACACAGGTTAAGCTCCAGCAGCGCGGCACGGTGGCCGATGGCATGTGCCAGCAGCGCAGGCGCGCGCAGGGCACACAGAGGCACCGCTTCGGGCGCTGTGAGGCCCATGGGGAGAGCAGGACCAAGCTCGCCGACAAGCATGCGGGCATTGTGCAGCGCATGGCGGGCACAGGCGAGAGCTTGCTGCTCAACTGCGGCCTAGTGGCGCGCCCCATTCACGACGTCGGGGGCGACGCCCAGATCGAGCAGTACCACTCGGTCAACGCAGAGGGCGGCGACGTCGACGAGGACGACGGCGTGCCGTTCATCTCGGGGGTCTGCTTCACCGACGGCTCGGGCAAAGGCGCCAGCGCGCTCAAGGGCTACGGCTGGGGCTACATGTGGTTCGGGGAGCCTGCTGATGAAGGACAGTTTACGGCGCTTGGTGGAGCATACGGAAGCCTGCCAGGAGTACGAGCTGACCTATCGGTGGGGCGGGCCGAACTCCAGGCCATCTGGTATGCCCTGAGGAGGGCGACGGCACCTACCACGCTGGTCACCGACTACGAGATGGCTGTGAGAGGCATGAGAAGGGGCCGACTGTGGTGCACGGCGCCGCAGAGGATCAATTGCGACATCTGGATGCGCATCTGGAACGTCGTGGACGAGACCTTCCCGAACATGGACGGACTCACGGCGGTGCATGTGCGGTCGCATGGCAGAGGGCAGAACGCCCTCCACGTGCACGTTAACAAGATCGCCGATGAGTTGGCGGTCAAAGGAGCGCAGCTGGCCATGCCGCCACAGTGGCAGATCGACGTCTGGTAGGACCGCTGGAAGACGGTGCAGCAGGTGCTGGACTACGTGGCAGACATGGCAGTGGAGGTCGGTGACTTCGGGGACGTCGCGCTGCCTACCAAAGAGGAGGCGCGGGCGCAGCGCCGACGAGAGGCCCAGCTGCGAGGGCGGCAGCCCGAGGCTGAGGAGACGAGGCCTGCCATGACATCGGCAGGGAATGCCACGGCTACGGCAGCGGCAGCCGTGGCGGCGGCAGCGGCAGCGGCAGCGGCAGCAGGCGCATTGCCTGAGGAGGTAGCTGCCGCAGCAGGGGAGGCTGCGAGGGTGGCAACCCAGCCAACGGCAGCAGCCGCGTCTGCCGACGACTAGATGGAGGAAGACGACCCCATCGAGGATTCTGACGATGGCAGTGCAGCCGCAGGGCCGCGCGCGCCTGATGGCCCTGCGGCGCGAGGATGGCCGCGGGACCCGACGATCAGGAGGCACAACATCGTCACGGAGGGCCAGCGGCACAGATGCCTGGACTGCGGTGCGCGCTCCAAGGTGCTGGGGGCCCGCGCGGTGCAGTACTTGCGACAGCGGTGCCCTGGAGTGCGGCGGCGAGTGACGTATGAGGGTGGCTCTGGTCGCGGCGGTGGAGTGGGCGCGCAGGTGCATAGGAGTCGCAGCTGTGGCAGAGGCGCCTTGATGCCTAGCCCCCAGCCGCCCGGCATGCTGCGCCAGCCCCTGCAGATGCTCCTCCTCCACCTCCAGGGGGGCCAAGCACGAGCACGGGGCCAGCCCGTGCTAGTGGAAGCTTGGCCAACAGGATTCTTGATCCTGCGCAGGGGCACCAGCTGTACAGAGCGGGGCCGTATACATTTTGTGGCCGTTGCGGGGTGCGCTGCTCAGGGCGTGTTTTTCGTTCTTTGGGTGACCGATGCCGACATGATGCCGAGGTCATACGGCCTCGAAGCAGGTCACCAGCGCGAAGACGAAGCTGCTCGGTGGATGGCACCCCACGCAGGCGGGTGTGCGAGTTGCCGAAGCGGCAGCGTGGCTCACAGACGGTGAGGTCCGCGCCTTTTACGGAGTGGCCTAGCGGCCGCCCGCCGTCACAGCTCGCGTGCAGCCGTTGCGCCGCGTAGCATTGCCACGGCAAAACAAATGAGCACGATTAGAAACTAACGACGTGTAGTTCTGTCCGAGCTTGCCTGTCCTTGCAGCCGCCTCCGGGGCGGTGCCCGTGGCGTCTGCCACAGCGCCAAGCAGCGCGTCCCTGTCCGCCTCGACGAAGACAGCGCTCCGCACGGTCTCTGTGAACTCTGCGAGTTCGTAGCTCGTGCGGCGTGCCAGCGGCAGGAGCCGTCTCAGACGCGCCGCCTCGCCCTCCGAAGCCTTTTGCTGGGCCACGGTGCCTTCGAATGCATTCAGGAGGCTCGCCGCCGCCGTCGCCTGCGCAACGAGGTCAGCCATGCCGCGCCGAAAGGGGAGGTCACGCCCCAACTTCCCCGAAGAGCCGCCGCGCTGGCTTGCAGCCGAAAGGCTGCGCGAAGTATACACTTCCCTCCTCCTCCTCCTGCTCCTCCTCCTCCTCCTCCCCCTTTTTCTCCCCCTCCTCCTTTTCCTTTCCCCTCTTCTCTTCCTCCTCATCCTCCTCCTCCTCCTCTTCCTCCTCCTCTTTTTCCTCCCCCTCCCCCTCCTCCTCCTCCTCCTCCTCCTCCTCCCTCCTCCTCCTCCTCCTCCTCCTCCTCCTTTCCTCCCCCCCCCCCCCTCCTCCATCTCCTCCATCTGAGCGGTCGAAACCGCTGGAGCGGCGCGGCCGCTGAGCGAACACTAAGGAAAAGCGGTTGAAACCGCTGGAGCGGCGCGGCCGCTGAGCGAGTACGATGGGGAAAAGCGGTAGAAGCCGCTCGAGCGCCCCCCCCGCCCCCCGTCCCCCGACCCCCGTGTTGAGCTTATCGTAACTGGCAGCTATGGTTGTACTGTGTTGTGTCACTTCGTTTGGTAAGCGAAGCAAGGCCATCAGACAAAGTATAGCGTTTGTTGGACTAGCGACACATTGCCGACCAACCTATTCAGTCCTTTAAGCAAACGTATAAAGAACGCCAACCACTTATAAGTTCAATTGCATCATTCGTGATTGGAATTGGTTGGGCGCTATTGCAAGTGCACATGATTTTAGTTCGACCTCCTTACGACCAGACTTGAAGAGGCTTCAAGTCCGACAACCCAAACCGCCATCCCAGCAGGAGGCTGGCGGCGTCAGGCGCGGGGGGGGGGGGGCGCCAACGAAGTCGTTGCAGGGTGGGTGGCCCCCGAGAACCTTTGCCCATAATCTCCAGGAGGCTGGCGGCGCCAGGCGCGGCGGGGGGGGGGTGCCGCGAGTGTTTTTGCAAGGAGGGTCGCCCCCGAGAACTTCTGCCCAGAGGCTCCAGGAGGCTGGCGGTGTCAGGCGTGGTGGGGGGGTCGCTGGCCAAGTTTTTGCGGGGTGGGTGGTCCCCAAGGTGGCGCCCAAGAACCTTTTCCCAGAATCTCTGGGAGGCTGGCGGTGTCAGGCGTGGTGGGGGCGTGGTGGGGCCTGGGGGCCGGCGAGGTTTTTGCATGGTGGGTGGCGTCCAAGAACATTTGCCCAGAAGCTCCAGGAGGCCGGCGGTGTCAGGCGTGGTGGGGGCGTGGTGGGGCGGGGAGGCCGGCGAGGTTTTTGCAGGGTGGGTGGAGCCCAAGAACTTCTGCCCAGAGGCTCCAGGAGGCTGGCGGTGTCAGGCGTGGTGGGGGCACAGTCGGGGCGCAGTCGGAGCGCGGTGCGGACTGCCAGCAAGGTTCCAGGAAACTGGCGGTCTCAGACGTAGTGGGGTCGTGGTGGGAAGGTGCCGGGAGGATTTGTGCAAGGCAGTTGGTTCTCAGGAGCCTATGTCCAGAGGGCCATGCCAGAGTGACACAATATGTGGCAACGAAGGAGCGTCGTATTGGAAGTCGTCCTCCTCCTCCGCCTCCTCCTAAGGCTCTGCTCTTCTCCTAGCTTTTCCCTCCTTGCTCCTCGCCGCCTATCCCCTTCTGAGCAGGACGAGAAGCGAGAGAGAAAGAAGCGACGACGGGGAGGAGGGAGGAGGGACGAGGAGGAGAAAGGAGGGGAAGCCGGACGCAAGACGGGTGAGACCAAGGAGGGCGCAGGAAAGGCGGAGGAGGGGGGTGGGAGAAGGCCGGGAGCGGGAAACTCGGAGGTTCAGTGTCGCGAAGGCTAGGAGTGGGAAAGCAGGAGGGAGTCGACTACACGTGAGAGTGACCCTCCGCTGGAGTGACCTTTGGTGCGGGCCCACCGTGGTCTCCCGATCGCCGAACGCGATGCGGTCATAGCGCCTTGCGCGCTCGTGTTCGGTCCCCCCCGCGGCCCCCCCAACGCCGCGCACCAAAGGTCACTCTTACCCAAGGTCATTTTTGAGTTTAGCCGAGGGAGGGAAGGAACAGGAGGGATTTTTGGATTGGCTCCTCGCTGAAGCACACGGCTTGTCGAGACTGGGTGGCGCTGCAGCCAGCATAATATGAGCCAGACTAGAAACTTCTGCACGGGCACCAAGGACGCAAGGACAGTAGTTTACCCCTGAACCGAACAGGAGGGAGGCAGGGAGGGAGGAGGCCTCTCACCTCGAGGGGAGGGAAAGGAGGGGAGGGAGGGGAGGAACAGGAGGGGAGGGAGGAACAGGAGGGAAGGGAGGAAGGGAGGCAGGGAGGGAGGCAGGGAGGAACAGGAGGGAGGCAGGGAGGGAGGAGGCCCCCCACCTCGATGCCTCTCGTGCGCCTGGCGCTCCCTGTGCCGCGGCGCCCCGCGGCCCGAGGTCTACACGAGGGCGGTCAAGGCCGCGGACGTGACGTTCGCCGTCGTCTTCATTGCGGAGATGGCGGTGAAGTTGGTGGCTCAGGACGGCAGAGGGAGGTGAAGTTGGGGGGAGGTGGGGGAAGGGGAGAAGGAGGAGGAGGAGGAGGAGGAGGAGGAGGAGGAGGAGGAGGAGGAGGGGGGAGGAGGGGGAGGAGGGGGGGGAGGAGGGGGAAGGGGAGGAGGGATGAGGAGGAGGAGGAGGAGGAGGAGGAGGAGGAGGAGGAGGAGGAGGAGGAGCGTATGGACAGACATCTGATGTAGGAGAGGGAGGGCGAGAGAGAGAGAGGGAAAGACAGAGGGAGAGACGGAGAGCAGGAGGGAGAGTCAGATGGATAGAGAGATTGCGAGAGCGAGAGCGAGAGAGAGAGAGAGAGCCACGCCGATTCCGACACAGGTCCGCCCGTGCGCCCGGCGGGCGGGCGGCCCGCGCACCAGGCCCAGCAGGCCGGAGCAGCGGCGAGCTGGGTGGGGCGGCGCGCGCCAGAGGACGCTGCGGACCCAGAGGGGGGGGGGGCCTGGCGCGCCGCCGCCCGCGAGGGGGGGCACTGCGAGCGGCGCCCCCGCGCGTCCGTCGGCGTGCGGCCCCGCGGGGGGGGGCACGGCGGAGACGGTGGCGAGATGCGAGCTGTGCCGATGGGTAGAGTTTTCGTTGCCACCACCATGCGCTGGACGGGGGAGAAGGTGAGATGAGGAGGTCCTTCTCCTCCTCCTCCTCCTCCTCCTTCTCCTCCTCCTCCTCCTCGCTTTTCCTACCTTTGGTAGTGGTGGTGGAAGATGGGCCCATCATATGCCCCCGCCGATCCACGGTTCGGGTGCAGCTCGACGGGCGGCGGAGACGCCCGTGCCGACGTTTTTCGAGCGGGGCCGGCCAGTGGTCGAGGATGGGCCGAAGATGGCCGACGAGGCAAGCATGCAAAGGGCACCCTCGAGAAGTCGACCCTCCGTGCTGTCAGCCTCGACCGCAGGGGTTCGGACCTCGCCACCCAGAGGGGCCCTCGAGGTCCAGCTGCAGCGCGACAGGGCGGCCCGCGGCGAGCCGGCTGTGGGCGCCGTGGCGAAGGAGGGGTCCCCCTGCGCCGAGGGGCGGCGCACCCTGCGGGCTGGGTGCCCCCCCGCTGTCCTGCGGCCTCCCGCGGGAGTGGACCGAGGCCGGGGCTTCTGCCGGCGGCGAGCCCGGGGGGTCGGGGGGGGGAAGGTGCCGATGCCGCTGCCCGTCTCTCGTCTTCCCCCTCGTGGGCTTCCCGGGTGGCCCTCGTCGCCACCGTGGGGTTGGCCTCGAAGTTCTGGCCCGAGCGCACCCTGGGAGAGGCCCGGGGAGCCCCAGGGGGGGAAAGTGAGGGGCGGCCTTCCCAGAAGTCTCGGAAGTCCGCCGACCTTCCGAGAAGTTTTGGAAGCCTTCCCCGAAGACACAGAGAGCCTCTCAGAGGGCCGGAGGGCTGCTGAGAAGCCCCGCCGCCTTCTGAGAGGGCCTTCCCCTTCTCACTTCCCCCCCTCGCTCGCCGCGGATTTTGGCGATCTGCCACAGCGCATGGCTCCGCGGCTGCCAGAGACACCTGTGACCTGTGGTGGCTCTGCGATGCGCCCAGTGCCCTCTGCGCAGCTGAGCTCGAGGACAAGATCTTCGTCACGCGCCTCGTGTCCGGCAACGGCGGCGACCTGCCAGCCTCGAACCACGCCACGAGGCTTTGCTGCCCTGGGACTGACCAGGGCGAGGCTGCAATGAGCAGCACGTGGCTGCAAAGCTCCAGGCCTCCCAAATGAGGTCCGAGTAGATGGGGTCGGAATATCTCGCCGCATCGCCGATGCATTGGCGATGGGGATCGATGTGGAGCCCGATGCTCTCCACATCGACGGCGCTGATGCATCGCTGGCGTCGCATCGCCGATGCATCGGCGATGCATTGGCGATGCGGCATGATCCTCCGACCCCATCCACTCGGACTCCACTTGGGAGGCCCCGAAGGGCCGCGGCCAGGCCATCGCGACCACCGTGGCCGACGCCACGGAGGGCCGCGCCACCCCCCAGCCGAGCGCGCCGTCGTGCCGACGGCGGGCGCGCTGCCGCGCGAAGGTCGCGGCCGGGGCACCTGCGCGCTGCGCGCGGCCGCAGGGGCGCCGCTGCTGGACTGGGCCGCATGGCCCAGCGCGGCACTCAACTACATAGGCCTCCTGGATGGGGTCGGAGTAGACGGGGTTGGGGATTGCGTCGCACTGCCGATGCATCGCCAGTGCTGCTCGATGCGGAGCTCGATTCCCTCCACGCCGACGGCGCCGATGCATCGGCGATGCAGCGCGATCCTCCGATCCCATCTTTTCGGACTCCATCTAGGAGACCTCTGTGACCCTTCGCCAGGGCGACCTTTTGGTGCATTGCACCGGCGAGATCCAGACAGCCCCGGCCTCCGATCGATAGGCATAGGCATCCCAGGATCACCGAGGCCGAGGTCCAGACGATCGGCGCGCGTTCCCCGAAAGCGATCCCCCACGCTTGGCGGAGCGGGGTCCCGAGGAGGCCCGCAGCGCGGCGGCCCAGCTCCAAGCGGCGGCGGCGCCAGCAAGGGGAACTGCTGGCAGGGCGGGGGCGGCCCCCCAGGCTGCCAGCCAGCCGAAGGCGGTGCCCGTCTGGGACGGGGGCGGCGGCGCTGGGCCTGAGGCCGGCGGCGTTCCCATCTCCACATAGCCGTCGTCCTTCGCATCCTCGTCGTCGCCGTCGCCCTCGTCGTCCTCGACGGTGATGTCCGGCACGGTGGGGCGATCGGGCTGGCTCGCGCCGAGGCGACGCGGGCCCGACTCCACTTTGTAGTAGTATACGCAGTGCCCGTAGTACGCGGCGCCCTCCAAGGAAATCTCTGGCGCTCCTGGCGCCTCAGGGGGCGCGGCCGCGGCCGTAGGCCAGGGCTCCGCGCCCTCGCTGCCGTCCGTCTCCAGCTCGCCTCCCCGCCCGAGTTCAGCTGCAGACCTGCCCGCGAGGCCGTCTGGCGTTGCGACCGACGCAGCGACATCTTCGGGCTCGGCAGGCTTAGGAAGCCCGCGGCCACGAGGTGGTCGAGGTCGTCGTACGCACAGCGCGGGGGGCTCAGCGCGCTGCTGAGCCGAAAAAGCTTCAGCGCAAACCCCCTCTCCTGCGACCCTTACCCTTCAAACCTGATGTTCTAAGCTACCGCTCCTAACTGCTAACTGCCTCTAGGGTATCCCTGGGGCTATCCTAGGGCCTTCAGTAGGCCCTACCCTTGGCAAGCCTAGGGCCCTCAGTGGGCCCAACCCTTTACAAGCCTAGGGCCTTCAGTAGGCCCAACCCTTGACAAGCCTAGGGCCTTCAGTAGGCCTTACCCCAGGCAAGCCTAGGGCCTTCAGTAGGCTCTACCCTAGGCAAGCCTTGGGCCTTCAGTAAGCTCTACCCTAGGCAAGCTTAGGGTTTCCAGTAGGCCCCAGGGTAGCCTAGGCCCCCCTGGGCCTGTATCCCGCGGCGACACGCTATGCTAAAGCTCCCGACCGCAGCAAGTAGCAAGTCACACATACAGGCTGTCCGAGCTCCGCGCGGATGTCTCGGATCTGTGCTGGAACCCTCCGCCGGCGCCCCGGGCGCCGCCCTTGGCGCGCTTCCACGCCACGGAGGGGGCCCGGCGCCGATCCAAAAAATCCGCGCGGACCTCCGAACATTTACACACTGTCGATTTCGAATTCTTCGAAAGTTCTTTGATGTTCTTGGGGGCCAAGATCCTTTCATTTCCAGTTCTTCTATCTTGGGCCTCTTCCTGGCCACTGGGGGGCCAGGAACAATTAGAAACGAACACAACTAGAGATGAGCACGATTAGACATGAACGACGTGTACGTTCACACCGCATGCGGCTCCTCCAGACGAGTCTCGACGGCGCACGGCGGCAGCATCGGTGCAGCGCCACCGGCGCGCCAGGGCTTGATCGCGGGCGAGGACGCGTACCTGAGCAGCGGGTGGAACTGGCTCGACGGGCGCGCGTCCCCGCCCACGCCCGCGGGTGTAGGTGGCGAGGGAGACGTGCCAGGGGAGACCTCGTGGTGATGAGGAGGGGTCGGGAGGGGTAAAAAACACAGACACAATGAATCGTCGACCCCCAGGAAAAAAGTATGGGAAGCTGTGGGAGGTTCGGGGGAAGACGAACGCCAAGAGGGTATGGGGCGTCACAGAGTCCACAGTCGGGGCCCTGACGAAGGAACCCTTTTGGTTGGGGAGGGGCTCCGCGTTCCTTAAGTGTTTCACAGCTTGCCCCACGTTTTCCTTAGGTTTTCGAAGGGAAATCGAATTTCAACTTATGGGAAAAAGGGGCCTCGTTCCTTATTTAGGGTTCCTCAGGTCAACGCCCCGACTGTATGTGTATTCCTCTGTGTGTCCCGGGGCCCCTTCAATTGAGCAGTGGAGGCAGGCGCAGCCGCCGCCCGGCCGTGCCCGCGACGCGGCAGCATCTCGACGGCTGGCACTCGGCAGCTCGTTACGGCTTCCGGGGGGCCCGCCTGGCCTCGGGGACCGCAACAGAAAGGTTCGGGATGCAAAAACACCGGCCCTGAGAGGAGGAAGGATCGGGATTTCCGGGGACGCCGCATCAGTCGGGAGCGGACACGAGGGGGGTGATGATTCGGGGGGGCCATGATTTTTCCTCAGATTTCATGGCGCCTGTTCTTATTTCATTGCGTCCCAGGCCCCCCCGCTGGGCCGCGCACATGCCGCCGGTCATGATTTGCACACCCCCCCCTCTTGGACACCCCCCTCTTGGCCGCTCCCGAATTAGGATAATCAAGACGTCGGATGTCTGGGGCCGCAGTTCTGGGAGCTGAAGCTGGGTGGGAGGGGGGACATTTGCGTGGAGCGTCAACCGCCTCCATGCTTTTCCGTCTGTGTCCGTGCATGTGTTGGTGTGCTGCTTGCGTGTGCTTTTTGTGTATGTGGTGTCTGTCATTGGTCCTGATCCTGGTGATCCCAATCTTTGTCTCGGTTCTACCCTGGCCCTCTCCTTATTTGTCCTCTCTTGTTTCACTAATGAAGCTTATGCATGCGTGTCCTCGTTTCCGCTAGTTTCTGTCCTTCGCTGAGTTCCTGTCTGTTCGTGGTGACCTTCGGCCCATCCTGCCACCGTGCCTGGGTCGTGGACGCGAGAGCTCTTGGGGGCTCTTTGGAGGCTTCTTGGAAGCCTCTTGGGGGCCTCTTGGAGGTCTCCTGGGGGCACCTTGGGGGCCTACTAGGTGAATTTCTGTCATTCGCAAATGATTTTCTGCTCGACGCCACCGTGCCGCCACACCCGCGCCATGGCTTTGCTATCGTAGGATTCTGGCTGGCTCGCTTACGGGAAGCCAGGAGTAGCTTCAGGATATGAGGGCTAATAGTCATCTTATCATCCTGTGCCCATGGTTGGCTCATAATGTTCGGGGAATGCCAGCCGGAGCTTTGCTTTGGGATATTTATCATTCGCTTACTTATCTGACTGACAAGTACCAGCGTTACATGTTGATCACATCGCGTTATTATTGCTAAGTGGCTCTATTAGCTAGAACCACTTCCAGGAGTCGGGAACCCGAAAGTGTTTCTCAAGCGCAGCGCATCTTCGAAGAAGTTGCAGCAAGGAGCACACTCATAGTGCTATTCAGGCGGTGTTGCTCTGGGAAGTATTCTCGGCGCACTGGAACCAAACACCAAGACCAAGATCCGATTGGACAAGAAATCCCGAGTTTCAGTTGCATACCTTTGTCAGAGTCTTCGCGCTCGTCTGCCCGCTGTCAACGAACACTTTGGGCGCCGCGGACCCTCCCCCTCTTCCCTTCCAGTGAGCACCATGAGGCCAATGAGCATTATGAGGCCTCGGGCCCTACGAGCCCAACGAGTTTCGATATTCGGCCTTCGGGCACAATGGGGCCTGCGATGATCGGCGGCCCTGGCGTGCCGTCGGGCTTTAGGGGCCCCGCTCGCCAATGGGCGTCCACAGGGAAAGCGCCCCCAACTAGCACCACGACGCCCATTGGAACGGAGTCCCTGAGGGTGCCTGTATCGGATCCTGTATCCACGGGGCCGCAATGCGATTGATCACAACCCAAGGCCTTACCAGCCCTTGTCCATAGTTTTTCGGGGAGGCTCCAGACTCCAGCGCTCGTCGCTCGCTGCTGGGCTCTCGCAGGTGGGCCTTGTTGGCGGGCCTCTCAAGGGATGCTGAACTTTTTTTTCTTTATTTTGTTTCCTCTCTCTCTCCCTCTTTCCAGTTATCTCCTTTGCGATTCGGTGAGCTAGGACGGGCTCGCCCTGGCCCAACAAATAATTCACATTCGATAGAAGGGCATGTTTGTTGGTGCTGTTCTCGGTGTTCCAACCTTCTCTATGTTGATTATTATGTTAATCCAGTCTTGAAGAGAACTGTTGATGCGATCCTGTAGCTACAATGTCGACGAAGGATGGCAGACGTGGGGCTGGGCCAGCCCGTGCCCAAGCACGAGGTAAAGGGTGAAGACGTGCTGGAAATGATGAATGGATCGGGCTGGCGTTCGCGACCGGATAGCCAGCTGAGCAAACTAGCTGGGTGCGAATTAATGAGGGAAATTGACGGGGGGGCGATACATGGGGGAGCAGAAAGGTGCCATCTCCGGGCCCTGAGAGCTCCCTTCTGGGTCCTACAGGGCCCCTTTTGTGCAGCCCCCGTTGCCCCCCCCATTTATCGCCCTTCATTTTTTCGCGCCCAAGCTACAGTCGGGGCGCTGAAGAAGGAACCCTGTTCGTTGGGGAGGGGCTCGGTGTTCCTTGACTGTTTTGCAGCTTGCCTCAGGTGTTCCTGAGGTCTTCCACGGGAAATCGAAGTTCAGCTTCTGGGAAAGGGGACCTCGTTCCTCATTTAGGGTTCCTTAGTTCAACACCCCGACGGTAGTCGTGGACCGAATGACGCCGCGGCCGCGGAGGCGGCGGTCGGATTTCGCGGGGAGGGGCCGCGGGGAGAGCGGAGCGCCCGAGCCCGGGGGGCGGCAGGATTGGAGGCAGGAGCCGGTGCAGAGGCGGAAAGACTTGGCATCGTTCGGACGTGCGCATGTCTCCTTCGGCGAGCACATAGGGGAACGCACAATGGCATAAGCATAAGAATTCGGAGGTCCGCGCGGATTTCTCGGATCGGCGTTGGACCTCCCTCCCTGGCGCGCGGAGCGCGCCAGGGGCGGCGCCAGAGGCGCCGCCAGGGGGCCCAGCGCGGATCCGAGAAATCCGCGCGGACCTCCGAGTCTTTATGTTTATGTCATCGTTGGTTCCCCTAGGACAATCGAGGAGCATCCTTGATCATTTGGCGGAAGAGCCACGCACGAAGCCAAAAAAAACACAGGGAGTGGACGTCCGAGCGATGGCCAGAAGAGGCTCAACAGTTGGAAGCAACTGGACGTAAGAGTGGCCCTTCGCTGGAGTGACCTTTGGTACGGGCCCGCTTGGGTCCCCCGATCGCCGAGCGCCCGTCTTGCGCGTTTGTGTGTTGGCCTTACCGCGGCCCCCCAAAAGCCGCGCACCAAAGGCCACTCTTGCCCAGCGTCGCTCTTGCGTGTAGTTAGCCGATCAGTTGGAAGCAACTTGACGGGGATCGAATCCCAAAGCCGTGAAGACCGATGGGGAGAGCAGCCAAGAAGGGAAGCCTCCAGATGCTGACGCGGGTGGGGCCGCCTTCGGGCCACCAGAGACTGCGCTGCCCGGACAGAGAAAGCCCACGCTTCTGCGGCTTCGCGCCGCACCTCAAGTCGAGGAACTCAGCCCGCTTCCTGCGGGAGCGGCGGCTGTCGACGAGGGCCGTGAGGGAACAATTTTTGGACATGGCCGAAGATGGCCAGGCTTTTTCTGTTCAGCCGTCCTCGACGGCGCCTGTGGGCAACCTGACTGTGCGGCTTGGAGCGAACGGCAAGCCTGGCGGTCCGCCAGCTGGGGCTCCGTACCGGGATCACGTGATAGAGAGGAGCAGCATGTTGAAGTAAGGCGTTAGGAGGCATCCATGCCAAGACGCGACACTAAGGGCAGGACCACCCTGAAGCTCATCGCAAAGAGAGAAGAAGTGAACGTCTGGAGATAATTGGAGGAGGAAGCAGCGAGGGAAGCACAGCGGCTATGGTCTTTCCCATCAGCGATGACGACCGGATCGTCGGATGGAGTTAATTCGAGGAGCGAGCTACTGACCAGAGCGCTTCCTGCTGAAGCGGAAGGAGGACTTTCCAGACGTCATGATAAGATCAGCGAAGTTGTTTTACGCATGGCGCCTGCCCCGCGACGTGAAACCTTCCCTGCAGGGAGAGCAATAAACATGTGTTCAGTATTGTGGCTTGCTTGCGTGATTGTCTTTGACGACGCGTGTGTTGCCCCCCCTCCCGAAGAGCAACATGTGCGTCGGCCTGCCGAGTGGAACAGTCGATTTCGATTGCGACGACATTTGTGTAGTGTTTTAGTTTCGGCGCTTCGCACAAGCGCTTCGCACAAACAGGGCAAGGAGTGACTATGGGACGGTAGGTACGGCCTCTGGGAGGAGGTTGAGGAGGAGGAGGAGGAGGAGGATGAAGGGGGGAGATGGTGAAGAGGCGAGGAGGAGGACTTGGAGGACTTGGAGGAGGAGGAGGAGGAGGAGGAGGAGGAGGAGGAGGATGAGGAGGAGGAGGAGGAGAGAGGAAACGGAGGGGACCTCCCTTACCTTTGTCTTTCTGCTTACTCGTCGCCCTCCTCCTCCTCCTCATCCTCCTCCTCGCTCTCTTCCTGTGCACGCGCCGCACCCACCGCGCCAAGCCGAGAGGTGTGTCGTGCTCGTGTCGATCGTGGACCTGCTGCCCTTGAGAAGCGGGCCAGGCGTCCGCCCCAAATACAGCCAACGAGCGAGCATGATATTCGGGCGGCGTACTTGGGGAGGATCATGTGTAGGAGGAGGAGAGGAGGAGGAGGCGGAGGCGGAGGAGGAGGAGGAGGAGAGGGAGGCAGAGGATGAGGGGTAAGGAGGGAGGAGGAGGAGGAGGAGGAGGAGGAGGAGGAGGACCAGTGGAAACCAAAGAGCAATCAACGATGTTGGAATTGACCCTCCCTTCAAGCTCCCTTTTCATAGGCCCTACAACGGTTCATGTCCATTGAGGGAACTGCCTCGTTGGAAGGCATCAGTTTGAAGATCCTGAAGCGTGCCAACACACTGTTCTCGGGATTTCAACGCCACGTATCAACCTGACCGCTGCGTCTCGACGATCCAGAATCGTGACATAATGCTATGTTTGGGACTTCGACACAGCGAATCAACATAACTGTTGCGCCCGCATAGTCCTGAATCTTTCCAAAACACGATTTCTGTTACGTTGATCACGGGAATCCGTGAAACTCTGGCAAATGTTCAAAGCGAATGTGCGCGGCGCTAAGGCGAGAGCCACATATTGAAAAGGAACCGCCCTCAATCCGTGAAGCTCTTTGCAAATGTTTAAAACGAATGTGCGCGGCGCTAAGGCGAGAGCCACATTTTGAAAAAGGAACCGCCCTCAATCCGTGAAGCTCTCTGTCATCGGCATCGTCGTCGTCGTCGGTGTCGTCGTCGTCGTCGTTGTCGTCGTCGTCGAAGTCGTTGGAGACGTCGTCGGTGTCGTCGTAGTCGTTGTCGACGGCGTCGTCGTCGTTGTCGTTGTCGCTGTCGTCGTCGGCGTCGGTGTCGTTGCCAAGTGCCATTTGGTACCCACCGTCACGGTCTTAAGAGGTCTTGCGACCAAGTTGCGGGTGGAAGGGTGGGATGTTTACACGAGCAGTGGAGAGGACAACTTCAAATTGAGCAAGTGATTGATAGCACCACATAGATTTCACCTCGTGTATTTCACCACGTAGACTGCTAAACACACATTGTTGGGGTCCACACTGGCTAGCATCTTGTTATTGTTCCTTGTCCATCTCTCCGCTGTGGGGAAAATCTGGATGTCACTTTGTCCAGGGTAGCTGGAAGGAGCGTGGTCACACATGGTTTTCCATTCTGGACGCTCAGCGAGGACGACCATTTGTACACCACATCTGTCTCGCAGAAAAAACGCTCCTTGTTTGGAGCTGGCTGGGAGGCTGAGGTGGCCCACCACTGCTTCGAGGAGGTTTTTTGTCGTTTTCGCCCCCCCCCCCCCCCCCCTGGCAGTTTTCGGGCCCCCAGGGCTGTTCAAAAACGGGTCCGGAGTGAAAAACTGCACCAGATGGACCCCCAGATGGGGTCCAGGGACGCTCCCGCTGCCGCTGATGCCCCTGCTCGTTCTGGTCTTCGTCCTCCTAGTCGTTTCGGCCCAGCCGACGGCTAGTGTTTAGCTGAGCCATGGGGGTGTCCTCCTCCTCGTCCTCCTCCTCCTCCTCCTCCTCCTCCTCCTCCTCCTCCTCCTCCCCCCCATTATCCTCCTCTTCCCTCCCTCCTCTTTCTCCTCCTGCTCTTCTGCCTCCTCCTCCTCCTCTTCCCCACCGTCTTTCTCCTCCTGGCTCAAGCTCAAGGCGCAAAACGGGTTCAGGCAAGTTTTTTGGCAATATCGCCCGCACGTGCACTTCACATCATTGCCTTCGCGATTTGCTGAAGAGCGGCTCGCCTATTGAGTGGAACGCCTTTTGCAACGTTGGCGATTTTGTACCAACCAATTAATAGCGGTGTGAACGCTTTGGTCAAAAAGATACCGAGGTGGAGTGCAATGTGGTGGAGGATTTCTCGTTGCATTGTGGGCTTAGCTTGCTAATTCCACACAAACACGTTCCCAAAGTGGGCCGCGCAGAATGGGAAGATGCAAGTCAAGAGATCGGCAACCAACTCAATGATATCAGGTTGCACGTAGCCCAGCTCAGTTCGAGAATTTATGTATTGGAGAGTAACGGTTGCACGAAAGAGAATCACGTGATGAAATAATCGAAACACACGTCTGTAGCAGAAGTGTTGGATGTATGTTCAAAGCGGTTTGATAAAAAAGAAACTAGAACAGATATTAATATTGGTGGATTGGCTAAAACTGGAGAATGTGTGCGATCGTACAATTCAAGGCGTACTTGTTGTCGAAATAGGTGAGACGACACGTTCTGGAGGATACACACATAAACATGTGGATTCCTGCGGAGTCGATTACCAAGCGTCCGGCGAGCATGATAGCTATAACGCATTTGGATATTTAGGTGGAATGGTTACCACCACAAGTCGCGTTGTTTCTGCAATTGCTCTTTCTGGCAATACCTGTGACGAGCAATTCGACGATACACATTGGGAAGGGGAATCAATCGTGCAGCAAAGAATCGCTTTGCGTGAACAGTGCGACAGTAAGATTGCTGAAGTTCGATCTGCGTGGGGCAAAGGAAAACAGATCGGCGAAACGGGCTCCCTTATCATGCTCGGGTGTGAGAAGTTTCTGAAAGTTGGTCTTTTGGTTGAGCCTGTTACACAAGAGCTCAGTCATCTCCGAAGTGACCGTGGACATACTTTTTCTAACAAGTTTTCGAAGTTTGGAAAATGGCCGCGAGGGTACCGGGCTCACAGGGACACATGCGAATTCCAATGGTATTTCTGCTTGTGGCACGTACGCAACGCCAAACGCAAATATTACTTTCAATATTTGGTTGAAGTATGCATCCATCATATCATCGCCCGGCAGCGCGTTTGGCGGACTGCAGCAACCTTTGACTAATAGCCGCCTTTTGTCGCAACCGGCCTCGTCTGGAGCGTCGACGCAACGTAATACACGCGTTCGCTTTCGGGCGTCGTGGAGCCAACGTGCTTCCGCGCTCCGGCGCCATCGCCGTGCTCTTTGTAGGGCCGTCCTCCGGGACGTTTGTCGGCGTCCTGTCCTGTCCTGTCCTGTCCCCCCTCCCCCTCCTCCTACTTCTCCTCATCTTCCTCCTTCGCCTCGTCTTCCTCCTTCTCCTCCTCCTCCTTCTCCTCGTTCTCCTCCTCTTCCTCGCTCTCCTCCTCCTCCTTCTCCTCCTCCTCCTCCCCCTCCTCCTCCTCCCCCTTCCCCCTCCTCCTCCTCCTTCTCCTCCTCCTCCATTCCTTTTCTATATTTTTATTGCTCACCGTCGCACCTTGAGACGAATGTTTAGGACGATCCGGGCGTTTCGCTTGAGACTGCCTCACCACTTATGACCCTGAAGCTTAAACGTTTACGACAGCATCACAGATGGAGGGAGGGTGGTTTTCCAAATGTTGTTGTCGCTTTAGCGTCGCGCAAATTTGTTTTAGAATTTGCAAAAGCTCCACTGATTGAGGGCGACCCGTTTTCAAAATGTGGCTCTCGCCTTGGCGCCGCGCACACTCGTGCAAAACATTGCAAGAGCTTCGCGGATTGAGGGCGATTCCTTTTCAAATTGTGGCTCTCGCGTTAGCGCCGCGCGCATTCATTTTAAACGTTTGCAAGAATTTCAAGGGTTCCCATGATCAGCCTAGCAGAAATGGTGTTTTGGGCGGGCTCAGGATTATGAGGGTGCAACAGTTACGATGGCTCGCGGTGTTGCAGTCCCAGGAATGGCGTTTTGGCACGATTCCGGACCGTCAAGACGCAACAGTCAGGTTGATCCGTGTCGCTGGAATCTCGAGAACGATGTTTTGGCATACGTCACGGTCTTCAAGCTGTTTTCTTCCAGCGAGGCATGTCCCACAGTGGAAATGAACCTTTGTAGGGGCCATGAAGAGGGAGCTTGGAGGGAAGTTTTTTTTTATAAAAAAAATAATATAATAATAATTATAACAATGATACTAATAATACTACTAATAATAATAATAATGATACTACTAATAATACAAAAAAAAGCGTTGCTGACTCTTGGGTTTACTCTGGCCCCCCACCCCTGCCTCCTCCCTTCCGTCCCTCCTCCCCCCCTCCTCTTTTCTCCACCACCAGCCCACCCGTCCTCGCCCCTCCTTCCCGCCCCCCTCTCCCCAGCCACGCGCGCGAATCGGGGCGCTCGCGCGCGTGCCCGCTTTGCTCGCTCGCCAGCCCGCTCGGGCACGCTATGGCCCGCATCCGCCTCCTCGCGCTACGCGCTCGCGCCGTAAAGCAATAACGACGGAGTATTGTTGGGCGTCGTCGGTCTTCGGGGGCCGTCGCCTGGCCGCTGGACCGCCGGACAACGGCTCGGGGTGAGAAGTTGGCCCCAGGGGGCAGGTTGAGATTTCCGGGGACGCTACGTGGGCGAACATGAAGACATGTGATGTCTGTCTCCCCCCCCTCCCATCCAGACGCGCGACGATCTGATCATGTCAATGCGCGGCCCCAGAAGTCCCGACCCGCTGCCCGCCCCGTGGGGCCAGTCTGTCGCCCCGCATGCGCTCTCGATGGTTCCAGGGCCCGATGACGAGCCCCGGGTGCCGAACTCGAGGAAAAACGCTCAGATTGAGGAAGTCAGATCGTCTGAGATTGGGGCCTCTCCCGCCCCCAATCAGATCGTCGGAGAGTTGGGTCCCTCCCCTCATCCATCCTTCCTCTCTTTCCCTCCCCCCTCCCGCCCTCTCCATCGCCCATCGATGTTCCTGCCATCTGGAGCGCCCCCTCCCACGTGGTGTCTCGTGCCGGTGACCGTTCTGGCGAATCGGTTCACGGGACCGAGCGTAGCCCGCAGAGTCCCGATCGGTGCATCAGCACCGCCGCCTCGAAGCTTCCTTCGGGCCCCAGCTGCCGGAGTGGGCCTCGACACTCCTCGGGGCGAAGGCAACAAAATGGTGAGGGATCTACGTGCCCCCCTACTTTCTCCGTCGGAGGTTGATAGGCCTCCTACCCTGACACGTCGATTAGCGAATTGGCCGTTTTCGGTTCGCGAGAGGGCGTCGCGGCCGTCATTTTTGCGGGTCCAGGTCCGTCGGTTTCGGTCTTAGGCCGTTTTCATTACAGGGAGGTTTATTAATAGGAGGTTTGTCCACCGCCGACTCCGTCCATCGAGAGACCCTTGCAGTCCAGATATTATGCCCCAGGCTCGCTCAAGACGCTGCGCATCCTGCGCACGTTCCGGCCGCTGCGCGTCGTGTCCCGCCTGGAGGGCCTGAAGGCGGCGGATATCCTCGCTGCGGCGCGGGCGCGGGCAGCTGCCAAGGGGGGAGGGGTCGCAAGGAGGGGGGGAGGAGAAAAGGAAGGGAGTTTGTTTGTGTCGGGCCAGACGAAAGGGGGGGATTGGGACAGGGGTGGTTACGAAATTTGCTGCGTGCAGCTGGTTTCGGCCCCATTCCTCGATACATGGCCGCCTCCCGGCGCCGGGAGGTGCCGGGAAAAGCAGCTACAAGCTGATCCTCAAACCCCCCCTTTGCTATCCCCCCTTTTCGTCCGGCTCGATTGTGGAAAGGACGAACCTTGAGATCCGGGCGTTGCATGTGTTCGGGCTTTGCATTTGCTCGTGCTGGGAACATGCGCGCGCGAGAGGCCTGCTTGGTCGCATGTTGTGAGCATGTTGAAGACTATATTTTTTATTTGAATGGTTCGCATGGGCGCGCGAGCAGTTGTTGGCTTGACCGATACATGTTGCGAAACCATTGTTGTGTATACATGTTCTGGACACTCGACATTGGCATCCTTACCATACCAACGGTTCTTGGTTGATTTCGGCAGAGGCGCGCGACGACGCTCGCGTGTAGACTCCGTGACATTTTTTAGACACGGGCTCTTGGCAATTGAAGATGTTTGATAGACGGGTGTGCGCACATATCTTGAGCTGACGAGGACAAGGGGGGGACATTGGTTTGGCTGGGATGCTCTGAGTTCATATTTAGAATCAGCTATGGGGCAGGCTTCGATGTAATTTGCATATTCCCACGGGGGTGGGTAAAACCCGGGGGGTAGATTTTTTGCCAAAGAGAGAGTAATCGTTTTTCATCGATGAGTTGCCAATTCCAGTGCTAGCACAACCATCCCACCCTCTTACCCGCAGCTTGTTTTGTGCAGCCCATGCGGCTGCGATTGTCGTGATCCGCTAGTACTGGCCGGCGCATCTCCGCGGCTGCGCCTGCGCGCAAGATCACGCGCAGCGCGGCCAGCTCGTTTGGCACAGCCGATGCGACCGCGGTGGCAACTTCCAGCGCGTCGCAAAGGCCGCGCTCGCGCGCGAGCACTTCAATGTTTGTCGGTGACTCGGGCGGCGGCGGTACCATGATGACGCCGGCAACGACGGCAAAGATGAAGGTAGTAGCGATGGTGGCGGCGATGGCGGCGATGACAACGACGAGGCCAATGGCGGCGCCGATGCTGGTGACGACGATGGCGATGGTGATGTCGATACGTCGGTGATGAAGGTGCTTGAGTGGTGATGGCGGCAATTGCGGCGGTTGCCGGTGACGATGCCGTGATGCGGCGGCGCTGGTGAGAGTGATCGTGACGAAGTGCGCGCGCGGACCTGCAACAAACCTTGCAGGCATTTCGTTGGAACAACATTTGGTTTTCAACATGTGCCTCAAGAGCTCTAATTTGAAATGGGTCGAGCGCCAATGGTTCCTTTCCGTCTTTTCCTGCGCTGTGCTCAATCAGCCCACATGTGTGCGACGTGTCTGGTACGCCTTAAGCGCCGCGGTCTAAACCAACTGAGCGCCAATGGTTATGGAGTAATTTCGACGCACGAGGGGCGGCGCGCGCGTGTGGCCCGCAGCTATTTTTGGATACGGAGTCGTGCACTGGGCGCATGCAGGATCTACGCGGGTGCGCAGCGTAGTGGGGTGAGGATGAGGAGGAGGAGGAGCAGGAGGAGGAGGAGCAGGAGGAGGAGGAGGAGGAGGAGGGAGGAGGGAGGAGGGAGGAGGGAGGAGGGAGGAGGGAGGTGGGAGGTGGGGTGAGGATGTGGGTTCCGTACGAGTTTGCTACAATCACATGGGTAAACAATGCTTTCACCGACTGCCCGCGGGCAGAGCATTTCTAAAGTGTTGCGGTGGAGCTCCCGACGGTTTCTGACTCTGTTTTGTGTTGATTCGTTTGCATAGTTGGTGTGTTTGGTGTCGTTTCGACGTGTGCCCGTGCGCGCCTGTGGATTTTGCGATGTTGTCCGCTGGCCGTCCTTGGTTAACGATCCGTTACCGCAGACACATGCGCGCGCATAGGATTATTCGTCAGGGTTTGGGGGGGTCGATGCTGGTTAGCCTGGGATGGTGTGATTTCGCAGGACAAATGGACGACGAGGCATAACCATATTTCATATGCAGTGTCCCAGGTGCCGATAAGTCTGGGCTCGGGCTGGGGGTTGGACTATATGTTTGTTTTTGCGACGAGAATATATGTGATGCAATATGTTTGGTGCAAGCGTTGTGGTGGAAGGTATGTGGCGCAAGCTATGTATGGCAAGCTATGTAGGGCACGCTGGGTGCGATTCAGTCAGGATCACGTGGGCGGGGGTGAAGCAGGCGAAGGTCGCCCCGACATCGTCTTTGCATGCGGAAGGCATTGTTGCAATGTTTTACCCATTATGCGCAGTCTAGCACAGCACAGGTGCGATCTCCAATTGCCACGGGCCGTCCACCTACTCGTGCACCCCCGACGGCTGTCGCAGGGCGCTGTCTTGGATTGTTGCGCTTCTATGTGTGTGTGTGTGTGATGTCCCTTCCCCCGTCTTCAGTTCTGCCATTGGCTTCCTCTCATGTCCTCAGCGGGATTTGCTTCTATTAATGGGCACCCTCCAGGTGGTGGTTCAGACGCTGTTCCATTCCATCGGGGACCTGTTCGGCCTCGCCATCGCATCCTTCCTCTTCCTTCTGATCTTCGCACTCATCTTCGCGTTCTCCCTTGAGGCCTCCGCAATGACTAGATTGACCAGCGCGCGGGCATGCGACCGTGTACTGGGCAGGATTACAGTGGGCATTTCATCTTGCATAAGACCCCCGTTCGCGAATTTCGTGATCGTTCGTTGGAGCTTCTAGAGGAGGAGGAGGAGGAGGAGGAGGAGGAGGAGGAGGAGGAGGAAGCGGACGACGGGGGGGAGGAAGAAGGTATTGGAGAGAGGAGGCAGGAGGCAGGTGGAGTGGAGAGGGGGGAGGGGAGGGGGGGAGGATGTACAGTAGGAGTTGAGGCAGGAGGAGTAGGAAGATGGGGGGAGAAAGAGAAGGAGGAGGAGGAAGAAGAAAAAGAAAACGAGAAGAAAACGAGGGGGTGGAGGAGGAACGAGGGAGGGGGGAGCATGGAGTGAGGAGTGGGGATTGTGAAGTGGGGGCCGTCTGGCAGAAAGGTGGAGGAGGAGGAAAGTTAGGATGAGGGGCGGAGCGTTGTGGGAGGTGGGATGAGGTAGAACCCAGGAGGGGTGACGGAGGCCACGGGAGCGAGTAGGGAGGAGGGTCGGATCGATGGAGGGAGGGAGGACCAGGGAGAATCTTCTTGACGGTGTAGGAGATACGGCAGCAGAAGTCGATGGTAGGATAGACAGACGGAGGGGCGAGGAGTGAGGATGGGAAAAGGGAAGCACATAGAAGAAGCCCATGAAGAACAGGCCCCCCCCCGACTCCCTCCGTCAGGAGTGGGGAGTGGGATTCGGGGGGAAGAGGGGGAGGCACAGGAAGAGGGATGTCTCCGTCCTGCTGCGCGCCCGCCCTATCCTCAGCCGCCGTTGTTTTTCCCGCCCCCACTGTCCCGTCGTGCCCCCCTCGACCCTCTCCTCCTCTCCTGTAGGTCACCGTGAGCTTGGCGCAACTGTGCCCCGGGTGCCCTGCCGCACCGATCGGGCCGCTCGTTGCCCCCGCAGGCCACTGCCGTCATCAAAAATATGATGCTCGTCGTCGTCATTATCATTATGCTCTTCATCATGCCCACCTGTCCTGTTGTATTCCAGCGAACGCGTGCTGGACAGATTTTGCGCAGACGCCGCCATCTGCTTCCGCTCTTTGCCATTCTCTCGCCGCTGCCTTTTTCCCATCTGTGCCTGGCTGATCGTGTCCTCATCTAGCACATGAACCCGACCGCTCACGTGAATCTGGATCATTCTGCTCATCATCACTCCTGCTCTTCAAGGGCTTTTCGAGAAGCGTCGCCCCGTCGAAGGGCAACCTGTACCACTGCAGCGACACCGCGGTCGGTTTCCTGGGCGTTGAGTTCGGCCACCTGGGCATGGATTTCACGACGCCGTTGTGCCTCAGCAGCGAGGCCTCGGCACCGCCCATAACTGTTTGCTTGTCGCTCTGCGTGCGCCGTCCAGTCAGTCCCAGAAAGCCTCTTCCCCTGGAGGCATGCCCCTCCTGCTCCAAATCGTGGGGTCCATAAGAGATGCACCACACGAAGAGCACACCGTCTCATGGCCACGGGATGGAGACCTCTGGAGGGCATGAGTCTATAGTGACGTGGTGTGTAAACATACGTAGGCATACACACACACACACTAAAAACACAGATACACACGGGTATGAGGGTCCAGGGCCTGAAGGCCGAGAAGGCTCGAAAATTGCCCCAGAGGCTCGAAGACACCCAAAAGAGGCCAACCATAACTCTCAAGAAGCGAGAGGGAACGATACATTGATTCCATCCGGGGATTTGAGGATTCGGGCAATATCGCAGTATAGGTCTTCAGAGCGTCCAAGACGCCCCAAGAGGTTCCCACCGTCATACCACGACGGCCCAAAGGAGCCCCTACGATAGTCCCCAGCTGGCCCCAATACTGTTGAAGAGGGCCTTGAAACGGCCCAGGAGGGCCTTAAGATTGCTCAAGAGGGCGCCACGAGGGCTTCAATGCGGCCCCACGAAGCCTCCAAGACGGCCTCGAGGAGACCCAGATAGCCCCAGAGGACCCCGACAGCCTAAGAGGCCCAAGATGGCTCAAGAGAGCCCTGGTAGGCACCCAAGAAGGCACACGAAGGTCCCCCCTGAGCGCCCCAAAACATCGCCTAAATGGCACAGTAGTGCCCCGTGAACACAACCACCGACGAGTGTCGGCCATACTTGCGTTGCGTTCAGATTGATGGAGAGGGGCGGGGGAGGGGTGAGAGGGAGAAGGGGGAGTTCAGGATAGCGGAGGAGGGACGGAGGAGACTGGGATCGGTGGAGGGAAGGATCGGAGGATCGGAGGAGGGAAGGATCGGACGAGCGACGAGGCATGGCGAAGGAGGGACCTGGGAGCAGAGGCGGAAAATGTTGGAAGATTGGAGGATGAGGGGGGGCGGAGTGAGGAGGGAAGAGGAGGGATGTAGGAGCGGCGAACAAGGAAGGAAGAGGACGGGGACAAGGGGAGAAAGGGAGGCTGCAGGCAGTAGAGGATACCCAGCTGCCTGCGGCAAGTCCCTCCACCGTGCCAGCCCAGCGTTCTGGGTGGCGACTGTTCGAGGGGGCACGGGAGGCCGTCACGTGTGACACTTCGTGTCCCCAGGTTTTCGGAGAGCCGCGGTGAGGATGGTGATGATGATGATGATGATGATGATGATGATGATGATGATGATGATGATGATGATGGTGGTGATAATAACGATGATGATGCTGATGCTGATGCTGATGCTGGTTATGATGATGATGATGATGATGATGCTTCTTATGATGATGATGATGTTGATGATGATGACGGTGATGATGATGATGCTGATGCTGATGCTGATGATGATGCTGATGATGATGATGCTGATGCTGATGATGATGATGATGACGATGCTGATGCTGATGATAATGCTGGTGCTGAGTAGGATGATGTTGATGCTGATACTGATGCTGATGCTGTTGCTGATGATGACGATGGCGATGTTGATGATGGTGATGGTGATGATGACGATGGTGATGCTGCTAATGATGATGATGATGATGATGATGATGATGATGATGATGATGATGATGATGCTGATGATGATGATGATGATGATGATGATGATGATGATGATGGACGTGATGTTAGTGATGATGATGCTGATGATGATGACGACGAGGAAGAGTTGTTAGCCTTCTCTCCTTGCTCGCTCCCTGTCGCCGTTGCCCGCAGCTATCTAGGCTGTGTTGAAGGAGCGCTTCTTGCGGGCAACGTGGGCCCACCGACGCGCGAGGGTAAATGATGCGAAACGTCGTCGGTGTCGTCGTCATTCCTCCTCCTTTTGTTCTCTTGTATAAAGTTATTCATATAACAGATCACAGAAAGCATGTTTGATAAACTCATCATGAGCGGTGAATGCGGTACGTTAACATCACCGCCTTATCGCACTTTTGCCGGAAACCGCATTCTTCTGGTGAGCGACGGCTTGCCAGCCGAAGATTCGAACGTTGTATCCGACGCGCAAATGACAACAGCAAGTGGTTCCCATACGCTTGTTCCATTGGGGGCAGTACGAGGTCAGCCGAGTATTCCGCTAAAGAACGCTTTGGGTCATATCCCCCCAGGTGTTCCCATCATTTCGTAATGTGATGACCCTTTTGTTCCAATGAAAGACATCGGTTCAGCGCCGATTCAATGTAGGAAAGGGGAAGACGATTTGGACCATGAGATTTCAACTATCATGGGAGAGGATGATTTGAATTCTGAGATTTCGTCCATCAGGGATGAGAAGATGTTGATTGTATTCCAGACGGTCCACGCGAGAGACACCACAGGAGACACGCATGAAGCAAAGCGTCCCGAAATACCTGCGGACGTAGAGATGGGGCATGACTTTCCGATGCGTGGCTCCATTGTGGCAGGACTCTTGCTTGAAGATCAGCACTGCCCAGCTACGCAACAAATCCTAGGGCCGATCCTTATTCCAATGTTATGTCCACGCGAGGCCATCAGAAGAGTTGTATCTCAATCGCCACTAGTAGTTAGAATGCGTGCAAGGTCCAGGAGCAGCCAAGGATCCCGTTGATCCGAAAATGGAGCAGCAAGAATATATGGTTTGTCGTGTTTCTTCGAGAGGCAATGCCGAGGTCATCAGAATGACTCGCCCTGTTGTCGGCAGCATGGAAAAAACACTCCCGACGGGATGCTGCGACGCGACAGACGGGGGGGAAGCTGCAAATAAAGCAGGGAAGTACCCGTGCGAACGAATCCAGGAACAGGCTGAGTCAGCTGCGGCCGACGTAGCCAACGCATGTTCTGCGGCTGGTTCCGACGCCGGTAGTTAGAAGGGCAGTTAGAAAGTACCAGCAGCAAAAGGAGTGGACAAGGTAAAGGCAGTGCCCCTTGCTGGAATTTGACAAACAAGAGGGATTTTCATTTCGGTTCTCGATGCAGTTTCCGTGCCAGTGCCCCAGGACATCCGCGACGTCGGCATCTGGGGGCCAGTAGCGCAATTTGCGCTTCGGCGTTCGTCAATCGGTTTAGTTGGCGGTATCGTAACACGAGGCCAACTGTCATCAGGACGATGAGCAGTCATGATGGTTGCCCCGCACGATTGAAACTTGGCACATATCTCGAGTTGCCAATTGATGCGGGTGAGGAACAATTATTCGATGGCGTTGCCAATTTAGAACCCACGCCTTACGTGAGGCCTACTAGACACATGGTGGACTCAGCACCTGTCATTAGTTCAGACATGGCAGAGAGAGCGAGAGAGATAAAGGAAGAGAGATAGAGAGCGACCTTCCTTTTCCATGCTTGACACTCTTTTACCGAGGGCTGCCATCAGGACAGTCCATGGCGCAAGCCCAGGACAGAGTTGCATAAAGGCGGCACATTCCGCAACGCGTGGTTTCGCTGTGCGCTTCCATCATCTCACCAGAAATCTCACCATTACCATTAGAGAGGCCCGAGGGGAAAGTGCCCCCCCCCCCATCGTCTAGCATGAACAGATGGCAATTTCTTTAGGAAGTGCAATCCCGAATTGCCCTGAAGTCCTAGGCGTCGTCGCTTAAGGCCCACTCCAAGGCTGCGGAACTCGAGAGCGTTTGGAAATTATGGTTGGGGCGGGAGGGCGAAGCCGGAGGCGGCGCAGCCGCGGGGGACCGAAGGAATGATCGTGCGAGTTTGGGTTCAATGCGATTCATTGTTGACGCAGACTGCAGTTTAAAAAATCATCGCTGGGAGATGCATTCAAAGTGTTAATGCTATGGGTAAGATCTGGGAGTTGTTCCCAAGTATCACCATGCGTACTGGCGGAGGCTCCAGTATGGCCTTAGGTTCAGTTAGCGTCGCATGCCGTAAAGTCCCAGACGGCCGCGTCAAAGCGCTCGCCATGCCCGAAACTCAAGGCGCATTTTCAGTTGGGGAGCAATGCATGGATCGCGGGTTTAGTTTTCGTTGGGGCCCGCGCGCCAAACGCCATAATTACTCTTGCCCGATGCGCAGAGAGTCAATTGACAGTTGGTGGAAAGATACCGCATCTCACGCCGTCAGGAAGAGAGGCTTTAGGCCGCTGGAGTTGCGCAGTCGCCCAGGGAGCGGTTGCCCTCGAGAGGTGGAGTTGCGCGCTGCTGGGCGCCGCGGCTTCTCTGGGCGACGTGGGGTCGGCTGGGGGCCCCCCTTCTAGATCTGTCCAGACCCGCTTAAGCGTGGACCTGCATGCGCGCGAGTTGATTGTTACTCGCAGTCATTGAGACGGCCGGCCGATCCAGTCGGACGATCAGTCCCAGTTGGGCGCGGAACCTGTGGATGTCATCGCTCGTTTCTACGATTCACCTCTGATCGCTCGCAAACGTGGCGAGGCATGCAGTGCGACAGGCGCTGTTACGGCTAACCCGTTGCCTCCTACTCAGCGGGGTGGCGCGGGCGGCCCGCGGGGGGCTGTCTCGGGGAATCCACCCCATGACTTCCAAGGTGGGCGCTTTGATTCAAACCCCGCTTCCGACGGGCCCGAAGCGGGCGAGGTCGTCGGCCCCGCCGACGAAGATCTGGTCGACGCCGCTGAACCATTGGCCGGACCAACAGAGGTAGGCGTCGAGATGTCGAGTTGTCGAGCGCCTCAAGAAAGACGCAGTCTCCGTCCAACATCTTCTGGTGCATCTCCCGAATGACCCTTATTGCGAGGCATGCCAAATGGCAATGGCTCTTCTTGCAGCACCGCAAGAGCCAAAACACATGGCAAAAAGTGCCCAGGCCATATTCTGGCCCTCCTTGCATCGGACATCTTGCCACCCTGGATCGCCGGTTTGCGGCTGGCGAGCTGTCGCAGGGGCTCCGCGGGGAAATTGCGCGCGCGGCATTTCGCGATCGGCTCTCGGATTTCATCGCCGCGCAGGGTGCCCGTGGCAAGTCGACGGCCCAC